ATAAGTAAAATGTTATAAACTTAAAATAATTTATTATAGATTTAAAGAAATTAAAATTGTTACAAACTTAAATAATCTTTAAATTAAAATGGTATAAACTTAAATGAACTTGTTATAGACTTGGGGAAATTAAAATTATTACAAAATTAAATGATTTTATTATAATTTGAGAAAAATTAAAGTGTTATAAACTTAAATGCAACTTAAATATTATAGTACAAATAAAAAAAATATAATATTGATAAATAAATAAAAATTATGTCATCAATGACTTTTTCGTTAACAGGGTTATTGAGTTCAGATTGTCTGTTTCTTATGGGATATCTCAATTGTTCTTCAAAATGATTGACATTGTCCGTATTTTTATCATTTTGATTAATATTATTTCTAACATTATCGATATCGACGTGTGTTCATTAGACGAGTTCATCTATCGATTTATTTCAGTTGTACCATGATGGATAACCTGTGAAGAATAACTAATATAGAGATATCTAATCAACAATTCCACCGTTAAATGTGAATTGCGAAAATATGGGAAACTTTATCGATGAAAATGGCGTTATTGGTTGGATTGACTAGATTGAATTTGGTGGTACTGGTGGATAAGCATCACCAATATAATGCGTATGAAGTAAATATCGGGTTTGATAGTAATGGTGTATAATAATATGCTATTAGAGTATATTGTAGTGATATTGGTGAATGCCTTTTCGAGTGATAATATAGTATGTTTATGAAACACGATAAATCACATCTACTATTTGATGAAGAACGACCCATATCTATTCATTGGTGTTGAGAAAACCATCTACCAATGCAACGTCACCCTTCTATGACTAATCATGGAAGAACGAATCCTTTCGACTTGTCATCAGCAACACCGCTAAAAAATATGATTCAAATCTTGTTGATTTAAAATAAAGATAAACCATTCATCACTTGGTTTTTTCGTTCTTATTTAGATCACTAGAGTTTAAATCATTTTAATTCATTATTAAACTTCAAATGACTCTTGTTTGGATCACTCTCGAATGACATGGATTATTTTAATATTATTTTTATTATTTTTTATCACATAAGATCAAAAAAATAAAATTTAAATCTAATATCACAAGTCATATTTCACTCCACCTTCAACAATTTTACCCTCATCACCCTCACCCAACAATCGACGGTCGTAATCACCCACTTGATGGTGTTTACTCACTAGTTTGTCGTCAGACAATTTTCATGTTTGACATCATTGGGAGAAACACAAAGAAAACAATAACAGAAGCCAAACAATTAAAAAAAAAAGGAGTTATGTTGTGAGACGCCTAAAATAAGGCTAATAAAAGGCGTGACCAGTAAAAAATGTTACAAGTTAAAAGCATGGCTGAGAATGTTATAACTTGAAATTGGAATACTTTTCAGACGGAGTAAAATAATAGGTTTTAGTATAATGTTATACAAGGTAAAAAATTAAGTTATAAACGGTAAATGTTATGAATTCAATTAACATAATTGGTTGCATCAAAAATGTTATCAGAGTTATAACTGACGGAGCCTTTTAATTTCCTACGATAAGAAAATAAGTTAAAAACTGAAAATGTTATGAACATATATAACAAATACGATTGCGCCCAATAATGTATTGTTTCAGTAAGGAAGGAGGTTGTAATATGGAATCTTAATCTTTTTAATAATAAAATGGGTTGTGCCTAAAATGTTATCAGAGTTTAAGCTGATGGAGCCTTTTAATTTCCTACGATAAGAAAATAAGTTAAAAACTGAAAAATATTATGAACATATATAATAAGTATGATCGCACCCAATAATGTATTGTTTCAGTAAAAAATGAGTTTGTAATATGAAATCTTAATATTTTAAATAATAAAACGCCTAAAATATTATCAGAGTTTAAGATGATAAGGTCTTTTAATTTCCCATGATAAGAAAATAAGTTTAAAACTCAAAATGTTATAAATATGTATAATAAATACGATTGCATACAATAATGTTATGATTCAATAAGAAATAGGTTGTGATTTGTAATGTTAATATTTTTATTAATAAAATAGGTTACGCCCAAGAATGTCATGGTTCATTAAGAAAGCAAGTTGCATTATGGAATCTTACTATTTTTAATAATAAAATGGGTTGCGCCTAAAATATTATCAAAGTTTAAGATGATTGAGCCTTGGAGTTTCCCGCGATAATAAAATAAGTTAAAAGCTTAAAATGTTATGAATATGTATAATAAATACAGTTGTGCCCAATAATGTCATGGTTCAATAAGAAATAGGTTTAGATTTTTAATGTTAATATTTTTATTAATAAAATAGGTTGTGCCCAAGAATGCTATGGTTCAGTAAGAAAGTATGTTGCAATCTGGAATCTTAATATTTTTAATAATAAAATGAGTTCCGCTTAAAATATTATCAGAGTTTAAGTTGATGGAGCCTTGAAGTTTCACATGATAAGAACATAAGTTAAAAGTTGAAAATGTTATGAATATGTATAATAAATACGGTTGTGCCCAATAATGTCATTGTTCAATAAAAAATAGGTTGTGATTTGTAATGTTAATATTTTTACTAATAAAATAAATTACATCCAAGAATGTCATGGTTCACTAAGAAAACATGTTGCAATCTGGAATCTTACTATTTTTAATATTAAAATGGGTTGCACCTAAAATATTATCAAAGTTTAAGCTGATGGAGCTTTGGAGTTTATCACGATAAGAAAATAAGTTAAAAGTTTCAAATGTTATAAATAAGTATAATAAATACGGTTGCGCCCAATAATGTCATGGTTCAATAAGAAATAGGGTTTATTTATTTAATGTTAATATTTTTATTAATAAAAAATATTCCGTCAAAAAATGTCATGGTTCAATAAGAAAGTATGTTGCAATATGGAATCTTAATATTTTTATTAACAATCTGGAATCTTAATATTTTTATTAATAAAATGGGTTACACCTAAAATATTATTATAGTTTAAGTTAATGGAGCCTTGAATTTTTCCACGATAATAAAATAAGTTAAAAGTTGGAAATCTTATGAATATATATAATAAAAACAGTTGCGCCCAAAAATGTCATAGTTCACTAAAAAATATGTTACAATATGTAATGTTAATATTTTAATTAATTAAATAAGTTACTCTCAAGAATGTTATGGCTCACTAAGAAAATAGATTGCAATCTGCAATGTAATGTTAATATTTTTTATAAAATATGTTGTACCCCATAATGTCAAAGTTTTGAATAGAAATTTTGGTTACGATATGTTATGTCAATATTTTTAATAATAAAATAGGTTTTGCCCAAAAAAATTGAAAATGTTTCAATTGAAAACGATATTTATGCATTAATGATTGATACTTTTAAAAATTAAAAATGATGATAAAAATATCAAAATTTAAAATTAAATCATTTCAAAAGCCTTCTTAATTCAATTAAATCATTTGAAAAGTCCCATCAATTAAAATTTGGAAACGTTGATAAAAATATAGATATTTTTAGGGACATGGTGGGTGAATCGTCACCTAGGATTTAGGGCCAATGGAAACAAAAACATAAAAGCATTTTTGACGTAATTAAAAAATGCAAGGTCCCAATAAAATATTGTTAATAAAAGGGTGCGAGGACTATTATAAATTTAGGTTTAGGTTTAAGGTTTGTAGAATTATCTCTTTCAAAACAATGGCAAAAATGTATGTTGCAATATTGTGGAATCAATCCCAAAGGAATTATTATCGAAATTCTTATGCATATAAAGTCTAATTATCATCAATTTCTTTAATATTCGGTTGACTTGTTATAGTTCTTGTTTTTTGGACCATGAAGCAACTTTATTTTGTTATAAATAAAGTTAACGCGTCATACTTCCATGACTTGAGTAACGAAGATCAACGATTGAGTGACCGTTTCGCTATAAATAAAAATGTTAGTGACTGAAATGTACTTTTTCAAACTTCAATGCTAAAAAAGAAATCAAAACTACACTTGGCCCTCTATGCCCAAAAAAGGTAAATTTCTATTAAATCACCCATTTATTATTTAATTTTTATTTTGATCACTCAACTATTGTTCATTTTAAATCACATTTAATGTTACATTTTAGTCTCTAAAAATTAGCAAAAAAAGTCAACATATCATTATAAGATGATGTTATGTCATGATTAAAAAATAATTAAAAAAACATTATTGTTATTTTTTTAACGATAGATGATCAAAAAATATATAAAAAATTTAGATACATTTTTTATTATGTTTATATTGACTCGTCCTATAATTTTTTTTTGGAATTCGTTATTGCCTCTAAAAGTACTAGTATTAAAAGTTTAGACTACAAATACAATGATTTTCTCATTGAAGAAACATCATAACAGTTTAGGTACGTAGCTAATTTAGTTAGTGCAACAATTTCGAGAACCTAAAAGTTGAAAATACATTTTTTTTATCACACGAGAAATTATACCTACAGCCTTAATATACGGTTAAGAAAATATGTTATTGGTTTTGAAAATATTATTATTTCTACCTAAAATATTAATGTTTTTTAACATTTCCGGTAAAGTACCTAATAATAACAAAACCAGTAAAAAAATACCAAAACCGATAACGCTTTACCAGATATGTTAACAAAACAGGTAAAACGCCCAATAATAACAAAACCGATAGAAATAATAATGTTTTCGGTAATTTTTTACCGGTTTTGTTAAAAAAATAATAACAAAAATAGTAACACCTTTTCTTAGCCGTATATTAAGGCTGTCGCACGTGAGACTTTCCCTATCACACACCTCAACCATGAGAATCGAAAAATAATGCATGAAAAAAATTGGTAAACGTTGATTGATTTTTCTAATTCTGTAAGATCCACATATGCAGCTAACCGTTTATGCATTTTTTTAACATATTTGACATTTACATAAAATTTATCACATTTAATAATTCAACTTATTTGGTATTCAAAATAACTCATTTTGAATTCCTTTTTGTATTCAAATTACTCAATTTCAGTATCCTCTTCAAAAGGGGGAAAAAAGAAAAAGAAAATTCTTTGACATGCTACAACAGCAAGTTATGCCTATTACTGGCCTAATTCTGAAACCACTTTAGAATTTCAGAATGACTTGGCAAGCGTTTCAGTTGCCTCACCTTAACAAGCACTCCCCAACCTACTTCGACTTCGAAGTCGACCGAGAGTAAGATGTTCCCTGAATTTTAAGATATTATCAGCAACATTATTAACCATGTCAATGAACTCATGAATCATGATATTGGATATTTAATAAACATATTCACGCAAATGAGGGTGAATGAAGTGAACAGGAAAGAAAAGCTAATTGCAATAGCAAAATCATCGAATTGTGACGGTGATGCCTACGCCAAGCCATTACCTGAAGCCACTCATCCAGTGAGGCATCAGTAGTCCTGGTTCCGACTTCCACCTTCGGAGCCTTCTTAGTTCTCTAGCAAAATAATGAAGGCAAACTTATTAGGCTACTTCACAAAAGAAACAAAAGGTCATAGAGATATTATCACTCTCACTCCTTGTATGTGCACATGCCACAATAATAGTAACATTACAAGTTGAAGCTTTCTTCAATGCAAGACAAAAATCACAAATGTTAACAGCCCCACTTTTTCCAGCACAAAAGCTCGTGGAAGACTTAAAATAGGTCGATGCTAGAACAACGTAAATGTTCCTCCATGTATCTATGGATGTTCTCTTTCTTAAGATATATCCAACACTATTTTATATAAGGGATTTACAAATAACTAGTTTCAAACATGCGTCATTTGCTTCTTGTGCATAGTATATTATCATACATAATAATTGAATAAATTAAATAAACAAAACTGCGAAGTGACACAACTAGAATACCTTGGAGACCCGCTTAAATTGACCATGAAGCCATAAACCAAGGAGAACGGCAAGGGAAATCCCAAGGGTAACAAGAAAAACGGACTCAAAACTTAGGAAACCACCAGCCTCAACAACTTCGATGGTACCATTATAGTAAGTACTTTGGTATGGGTGCTGGTCAATCTCATAGACAATTGTACCCACGAGATCAAAAGTTCCGGGCTGCATCAAAGTTCTAGACAATTAAGCTTAAGTGTAACACTGTCCTAACAAAAAGATAAACAAAAGTCTCTAAAGCATAAAACTCCGAAGTAATCATTTGCCTGTAAGTACTTGCTAACAGCAAATATGTAAGGGAATGTAGCTTGTGTCGAAGGGGGGACAGATGCTTTTTCAAAGACCTACATTTTTAAACAGACATTTCCAGTTACAGAATCCACAGAAGGCAGGTTAAATCCACAACATAGGCAGTAAACTACAAGATAATGAGGTGCATGATCAGCCTTCAATGCATAAGGCTCATATTATAGGCCATATGTTTGACAATGGGAGTTTATAACATTAAACCAATAAGCCTTTATCAACAAAATAACATGCGTGATCCAAAGCCTTTTAACTTTGTTAGCAACATTAGATAGCAGGTAAACATGAACCGATCTAGAAGGACTAACTGAAGGAATGCTTAATTTATCTATAAAATCAAAAGGAGATGATATTCAATTAAGCAAAGGTTTCAAGTTATGAAATAATAAAAATTAATAAAAATTCAGGAATATTTGTAACTCAATATATATGATTACCCATACTGTAAATATAAAGGCAATGATATTCTATTAAGTAAAAGATTTGAGTTATGAAATAATAAAAGTTAATCAAAATGAAGACTGAGCTGATTAATAAATCAGGAATATTTATAAATATGATTACCTGTGCGGTAAGATTTTGAACAAGCAAGCGATGATCATAAGGGAGATGAACACTAGCTTCAATTGCAATGACATTCACAGGTGACTCCCCTGCAATTTAAAGTAGGCTAAGAAAAAAAAAACAGCTGATGAAAAAGAGGTAAGCATTTAAGCATAGCCAACAGCAGATAGATAAATTAACCAATTTTAACTCATCATATTTCACTGGAAAACAAGCCAGTAATGTTGTGAAGACGAATTAATTACCAACATTTTCCATCCCAACAAGGAGTTCTGTCTCTTCTCCAGCTGGAACCACTGCCAAAGTGAAAATTTGTTACCAGTTAGAAATTAAATAAAAAAGCACAAGACTCTAAAAGAATACAACATCGAAAAGTTCTTACATTTGGCGCCACTTTTGGGGAAAAAACAGATAATTTCAACTCCAGGAGCTGGGTCAAATTTGCCATCACTAAAAGCCTGAATATCCTCACCAACAATCCCAAGATTACCTCCTTCAACATCTTCAATATCTGCCTCTGTTTCTGATTGACACCTAGCAACTACCACACCAAAAAAGAATCATGTTACCCCATAATTTAAAATCAACATTGAGAATATATTTATTGATAATGATGATCTTATAAGGAACAAAACTAATGCAGCAAACAAATTCAACATCAAGAAATAAATACTTCAATAATGTTACTGAAAAGGACTTCAAAGAATTAGACACCTCATTCGATTGTCTTTTGTTTTAGAAAATACGAAAAATACACAGCGATGCCATCGTTTTCCTCTGAAAAATAAAAGAAAATAAACCAGTTGAAATTTCACGTCCATGCAATCCAACCATGATTTAGAAAACAAAGAAATCATTTCAAATTCCCATTACCGAACACATATCAATCTCGCATTGATGTAATAAGAAATGCAAAAAAAAAGTACTAAAAGAAAACGAAACGAATTGCATCTAATGTCAATGGATCAAAAAATCGTAGCAAGACATTGAAGCAGAAATTCCAGCAAAAATAAATGAATAACCGTAAATAGCTATTTAATAATTCAGAGCAAACAAAAATAGATATGGAAAATAATTTACAAACCCTGGGGCAGAGGAGAGGCGAGGAGAAGTAACGCGAAGAAGAAAACCCATGAATTTTTCATTGTCATTTCTGAGAGTTTCATTTTTCATACAAGGAAAATGAAAAGCAGAAAAATAAAATTAAAATAAATAATCGGTAGTAAAAGCTGAAAATTACTTGTGTGAGGGCTGGGAATATTATGTTCTGAATTTGAAAATAACAATGAAAGTGAGTTTGAAAAAGAAAATTGTATTTAACTGAAGCTTCAAGGTTATATTATATTATATTATTTTTTTATGTTTAAAATAATTATAAAATATTATTTATTTAGAATATTTTTTTGGTTATAGATAATACACAATCACACATAGATTTTAATGTAACTGTTTGAACTTAAAATTTTAATTAAAAATAAAATTTCTTTTAATTATTTAAATTACTTGAAGAGTTCCCAATCCGACTATTAAACAAGCAACTTCTTATATATAATATTATATTTGATCTTAAAACCCGCTATAATATATAATCACAAACATTTAATACTACGGTTATGTACAACACAAAATTATCATATATATAATCTAAGTGTGTGTTTGATTCACGGAATATAAGATTATCAGTGGGAATGTAAGATTATCAGAGAATATGATTATTGAGAATGTTGTATTTTGTGTTTGGTTGGTTTAGCAGGAATGTAAGATTACTTTGTTTGGTTAAAGGAATAAAAGATTAGTAGAATGTATATTTGACCAAATTGTTCTTATTATATATTTGTTTTTCAACAAGTTAGAAAATATTTATATATTTTCTTTAAAAAAATTAAATTCATAAAATTTATATATATTTTTTTACAAAATTGACAATATAAAAAAGTTTAATGAAATGGTACAATTTTATTTTAATCTATGAATTTCATATAAAATTTTAATGAATTTAATGATATTTTTCGTAGAATTTTTATTTGGTTTTTATATTGCCCTTTATTTAATCTACGAAAAATTTTAATTTAATGATATATATTATTTTAATGAAATGAGATTATCAGAGATGAGATTCTCGGCCAACCAAACATGAGAATGTGGATATCAAGCACCTAAAAACCAACCAGAAAAGAAATCCACAACTTCCATTTATCTACATAAAGTATCATAACCATACCAGCCAGCTCTCACGAAAAAAATGACTGATATTGCACCAAAATTAATACTAGCACAATGAAAGCAGCCACGGTCCAAGGCCAGCTACCCTCCGAAGGAAGACGTGAGTGCGGCAACGTCGTTCCCCCGGCGATGAACCGAAAATAAATGTATTGCGAGCATCGATAGACTACAGCCAACAAGCCAAGAGTATGAGCAAAACCGGCGTGGCGAAGAGCACCCAACTCGGCTGCTGTTCAGCTGTTTCCAGAAGAGATTCATAGTTGAGGTACCAGGATATTCCGATAAATGTTGATGCTAGAGCCAGGATCAGCAGAACTGGATAAGGAAAGGGACTCAAAGAGAATGAATCGAAGATGGAGTCTCCTCTTCTTCAATAGGCCATGAGCGAAGATTGTGTGTTTTCTGGTACCTACGGATTCAAGATGGAAGATTTGTTTGAGGTTGTACCTGGGTATTTCTGATTGTAGGTTTCGTGTTGAAATTGGTCGATGTGGGGCCTAGAGGTGAAATCTATATGATTGGTAAGTTGTAACTATCAGTATCGATCAATCATGCTTTAAACGTAAATATATAGTCAGATCCGTGTGCAGTTATGTATATTGCATAATGTCACGGGTTAGAAACTTGGGTCCGAGATACTGGTACAAGTGTCCGACAAAGAGGTTCAAGACAGAGGATCGGGCTTGCTAAGACATTGGTGCAAGAGTCCGAAAGGGAATCTCAAGATAGTTATCGGGCTTGCCAAAGCCACCAGACTTGGCCCATCGCTTGGAGAATTCTATGGAGCCCGTTCACATTGGCCGTGCAGAAAAGGAAAGTGGCATCATATCTGAAGATGATCACAGAAGCTCAGTAAATATGGCAAGAGGCAACAAAATCAGGAAGATATTGTGGGAAAATCTTACCATATCCAGTGTGAACACCTATCCAATGAAAGAATCCTACTAATGGATGTAATTAGGAAGGATTTGGTTGTAATTCCTTGATTTAGGGGATTTGTCATTAATTGGGCAAATCATAGCCGTTGATGTAAAATGATCTAGGCCATTGATTGAGAGGGAGCTCAACTATAAATAGAGAGCTCTCCTCCTCATTTGTAATCACCCAATTCCATTCTTCTCTTTGTGAGAGAGTAATAAAGCTCTGAGGCATTTGCTCTATTCTTTCTGAGTTCTTAGTTTCTTTGTTCTTGTTGCCTATCTCGGTGGCCAGGAGTAGCCACCTTCGTGTTAGCACTTCCACACGATAGTCCGACCTTGTCGGCATTCTAAAGCTTCCGCAATCCGAAGCCTTGAGGGCTTGGTTCCAACCTTTGTGAGTTTGCACACTCACTTAGCTTGGGTAAGGCTTACTTAGTCGCCGAGAAGACCGAGGAGCGTCTAAAGCGTCTAAGGCCGCACGACCCGTCAGACCTTGACTCTGATATTCCGACGGTGTGAGGCGTCGAAGTTCTGGGGGCGTGACAAGTGGTATCAGAGCGTTTCGTTACGAATAGACAACGATCGTTTCGACCAAGTTTGGTGGAAGGTGCGAAACCGGGTAAGTTCTGTTTACTTACTCTTCGTTCAATTTAAATTGATAATTGAAATGGGGCACAAGAAAAGAGGAGTTTTCGCACGCAAAGGCAAGGAGTGCCATGGTGGGAAACGGGAAGAGAGTCCGTTGGGCTCAAGAGCATCGTCGGTGTCCAAGCATGAGGATGTTGTGATGAGTTCGCAAGGAATGCTCGAGGCAACGATAGCACACCAAGGGGAGCCGGTTCTCGAGGTAGAGAGGCTCAAGGGTGACGCCGAAGGCATGTCCGAGCGAGACACGTTCTCTCATGAAGACGAGGAGAGTCTTCACGAGGAACAAGAAGAACTGACGATCCACGAGAAATGGGCCTATTTGATGGAAGGTTTGGCTTTCCACACGCAAAGGTTCATCAAGTTGGAGGAGATCTCAACTTCGTGGGAACAAAGGGTCGGGAGACTTGAACAAGCCGAAGATGAGGCCAAGCAGACCCAAGGTGTTGTGGAATCCCGCCTTGATCGATTAGAGTCCATGGAGGGCAGATTCAAGGTCGAGACGCAACGAGTTCTTGACGAGTTGGAGATGGTTCGAGGGAGAAATGCCCAAGAAGCCGAGGTAGCGGCTTTGAGAAGCGAGGTGGATGAGCTCAAGAGGGAGCTACTCATATGCAAGGGAGCAATGAGTGAATGGGGTGCGCTCAAGACCTTCTTGGAAGGACTTAGACCAGGGGCAATGCTCGGGGGAAGAGCAAGGTGATGCCCAGAGACTTTCGGGAGCCATAGCTGTAGCCGGAACGCTAACTGAGCTTGCTGATGTTAAGCCAAGTAGCAATGTGTCGTCCAGGCCCATGCCCAGGGATAGTGGCAACAATGGGGGAGACCGAGAAATGGTGCAGCGGGGAGATGGTATAGAAAGCTCTTCGAGTGGCCAAGTTGAGCCATCGACTGTTCGCGGCCAAGGAAAGCCATCGGGTAAGAATGGCAAGGCCAAGTCCGGGGAAAAGAAAAAGGCGAGCAAGGAAAAACTGAAGTGCTACTTCTGTGATGGTCCTCACTTGATTAGAGGATGTCCCGAGAAGCGTCGCCTTACAACCATCATTAGGATGATGGGAGAAGGAGAGGAAGCCAGAGTTGGCGGAGGCACAAGTAAAAGTGCCAAGTCAAGGGAAAGACTTGGTCCGATTGATGGGATCAATGCGGCCAAGCAAGGATCAAAACGAGGCAAAGCTGTCAAAGATGAGGCGGTCAAGCCGAGAAGGAAGCCATATGCGATTGCGAATGATCGAGCAATCAAGTCAGGGGCAAGACTTGACGAGGCTACATGTTCCAAAGTAGCCGAATCAAGGGGCAAGCGTGGAGCGACTACAAGCTGTTAAGTAGTTCACCCAGGATTGAGATGTGCCGAGACTGCGAGTGTCAAAGCAGTCGAGCACAAGGAAAGACCCGGTGCGATAGCAAGCAATAAAACCGTCAAGCCGAGGGTACAAAGTGAGCAGGTTCACTCACAGCATGCCAGGATGGAGGCGTCCAAGCTGAGGCGCCTCAGGCATAAGGGGACACTTAAAGAGTATGTGAGCCGATTTCGAAGACTCGTACTCAAAGTCCCAAGTTTGACTGAAGAAGAGGGATTCTTCACCTTCATGTTCGGATTAAAGCCGTCGGCAAGGAAGACGTTGGAGCGAAGGGAAGTCAAGGAGCTGTCTAAAGCCTTGACAACCGCGGAGTCCATCAAAGAGTTTGGAGTCAAGAAGAACAAGACTTCTAAACCAAAGCCGAGAGCCGAAGGTAGCGGCAAGCGATCCCGCAATGAAGGCAAGTCGAAGGATGAGGAATGTTGTTCCTCGAGTGGTAGGGAAAGTCCACTCAATGATGAACCAGACGGTGGATCTGGTAATGATGTGTGCACTAGTTCAAGTGACACAGATGCTAAGCCGAGGGTAAGAGTCGAGCAAGCGAAGGGGCGCAAACTTGAGGTGCCAACAGTGTTGCAAGATTACCCAAGGGGAGCCGAGTCATCCAAGGTAATGGATGAGCCCAGGATCGAGTTATCCGGAGAAGAGGACATACCAAGGATCGAAGGGGCACTGAGGATTGGCTCAATACGGTTCATTTCTGCCAAAGCGAGTAGAGGCCAAGGGCAGACCAAGTTGTTCATGTCCAAGGAGTCGAAGCAAGGGCTTGCCGAGGATGTTCAAGAAAGGAACAATCCTTCAAAGACTCGTAGACAAGAGTCGAATGAGGCCAAGACGTTGAGGGACAAGGCAACCGTGGAGACACCACCCATTTCAAAGGTGGGAAGCGAGCTCCAACCTTCGTGTTAGAAGGGAGGAAGCAAGGAGGGGCATCAGACTTTGCCGTGAGAAAGTGTCGATGCATGATAGCGCAGAGAACTCCAATGACAAGGGTTCAATGCGGGGAGTGTCAGACTTCATGGAGTAAGAAGGGCTGA